TACCAAGCCTTTCAACTCACCGAAGTTTGCTTTTTCTCAGTCACAATAACGACATATTTCCGGAAACAGTACTTAGTTCATTTCATGGTAAATATCAATTGCAATACATCACTATAATATTGCGCTTTTCAATATTTCTGTGCAAACCCCTCCTCCGGTGATCAGTGTAAAATATTAATAATTGGTAAAAATATATAAAAAAAAAAAAACATCTTTGACATTTATGCTTTGACAATATCAAACGCGATTTTTCCAATAAATTTTCAACCAAACATGTGCATCTGATCACTAATTAATTCAATAATTAACACAACTATTTTCAGGGAAATGTGTGTATACATTCATTGCAATAAAGGTTAGATTAAAGATATTACTCACACCGAGACCACGAGTCTGCAAAATTGTCGATGCATGCGTTACATTGGTTCTTCATAAAGTGAGACAAAGAACAAAGAGAACAGATTTATATCCCATATGACAATTTGAATCCAAAAAACTCAGGTATCTGTGGAATCCGCTAAAATAGCCTGACCCTTTAACCCCTGACAGTGATGGACATCCAACCCCCCTAGCAGCATCACAATTGAATCAAACTTTATGGTCATGGAAATAAACGATCGCACACCCGATAAGTTCTTGATTTTTAGAAAAAATTCTCATTGTAAGTATTCCTAGAGATGTATAGAGAACAGTGTTGAGAAATTACATCATGATTTTAGAGTGCAAAGGGTCAATCGCTGATCTCCTCGAAAAATTTTGTTTTAAACTGCATTTTCTTCTTCGACGAGAAAGATGTTGGGATTCGAAATTTTTTTGCTGATGAACCCAGAGGATGAGGGGGCAGAATTCTTTTATCGTTTTCGTTAACACTTCTCATCACCCACGCAGAATACGCGAAGAAGACGTATTCAAAGTCAAACGCCAAACCGTGTTGCTACACTTGACTTTTTGTTTTATTTTCTCTTGGTTTTTTGTTTTGCGTTTTGTTTTCTCTTTTTACTAAAAATTCTCGCATTGAAAATGAAATTATAACATCATCCATTCATCGATTAATTTGGTGCAATTAGGTGCAAATATGCAATTCATCAATTTCGAATGTAAATGATCAAGCTGTCAGTTTCAAAATTTCGGGAAAACTTCGCCTTTTTCCAGATCGTTGCTAACATTTCGAACGGAAGTGAATATTTCCCTCTTTTTGTTATTCGAAAGTTATGTTTTCAGTTTTCCTCTGGGGGCCAATGCATCGTTACCCGGATTCAGTTGCGGAGAGACGAATTCTTGTTGGAGCTTAGGATGTCAAATAAATATATGTTATTTGCCGACTGGGAGGTCCTTATGGTGAAAAACTGTGACCGAGGTCTTGAAAATACTGCCCGAGGCCGTAGGCCGTATGATCTAACGGAAAGTATTATTCACTCTCATCGACCATTCATTCATGTACGAAGATTTACCTCTGTTCATTAAGTAAACGGCGAGGAAAGTAATTGTGAGTAAATTCAATTTTTTTATTTTGAAGTTGTGAGAGTTTGCTCGTTTGTTTGCTGTAATGGCGTGTTTAACTCTGATCTTTCCTCCACAAAAACTAAATTCGAACGGCACACGGAAAAATTTCCGCACAGCCCCATACTTAATTATGCATGTACATCTTACTGGTGATACACTGAATAATAAAGCCCCATATATGGATGTATAATGATGTATGGGGCTGTGCGGAAATTTTGCCCGGCACACTCCAACGAGACACAAGGGAATGTAATGCGGCCTTTTCTCAAAAAATTCCTTCAATTTCTGTTGTGCAATTTAAGGTACAAATGTCCAAATTGAACGGAATTGGAAAGACTCACCAGGAGCGTATATTTGTTGTAGAACTTAAATTAAAACTTCGCTCGCTCTTTCACTATGAACAAATTGCTCGAGAAACTTCAGATATTAAATGAATGAAAGTTCCATCGTTCAGTTTAACTGTAACCAAATACCTCACGTTCCAACTTTCTGGGTACTTTTTGTGAACGATTAAAATTAATTGCAGACGTATTTTAGGCCGCTTGTCAACCAACGTAATGACACTATTGTTTATACAAATTCATTCTGAAACCAATATTTTTCTGTCAACCAAAGTGATTTGATAGAGAGAAAAGAGAGGATTCATAAGTTATTTATCGGCTTGAGGTAGTGACCGACGTGTTTGCTTAAAAATACTGCCCAGTCGGAAAACGAGGTATATTTATGAAAAATGACAACGAAAGTTGGGATGTACTCGGCGACTCACGAAAGCGTTACCGTGGCCCGTGGGCAGAGATAGGAAAATACTGACCGGGTTAAGAACCAATCAGATTGCAAGATTCGTTACCGTGCCCTCTAAAAAAACAATAAAATGATTTATTATATAAATACTGATAAATACCAGGATTTTTCCTTTTACTGAAAAATCATATCTTTATCACGCGCAGTGAAGATACTATTTTTATCTTTTACGTGTGAGGATATTGGTGTCGCCATGGTTATTAACATGATAAGCCAATTACAAGAGGGCTTCCCGCTCAGGTGCGCGGCCGGTTCTTTTGAAATTTCATTCACAAAATGGCTTCGAGGTGCAAAGACGGTACAGTCACTGGTGACCTTCTCGATGAGCTGCCAAATTTTCACATCAATACTTTTTCCGAGCTTGAAGAACATTCAGGAAGATTTTTTGTGACAGACATTTTGCGATAGGTTACCACTTTAATTGCACTGTTTTGCTGTTTCGAAAATTAATTAAATAAGTGTTAATTAAATAGTGTTTTTAAATAAATTTTGACGAGCCTCTGAATAAACCAATATCAAAATTGAAATGCATTTTATACACCTTATATATCACACACTTTAAGAATACAAAATATTTTTTTGCTGCATGCGGTGTGATACGAGGACTGGGCTATTCAACTTTTGAAATTTTCGATGTCACAAGAGGTCAAAAAAGGGCCTTTTGCAGCTTTGACTTTTGAGAGCTCTAAAAGTTTTATGTTAACGCATTTCCAGAAACTAATGTGGTTTTATTTAATTGTAACCAAAGATAGATTATTGGGAAAAGTTTGAGGGGGGAAACTTTTTTCCGATGCGAAATACCCTGGACCGCTCTTACAGAGATCTCCTCTTAATTATTTCTTGGTTTGTCATTTCGCTTACTCTTTGTGTTGGAAATTCTTACTCATCAAGATTCAAAACACTATCCCTTCGGACCCTCTTTGTCCATTAAAATCTCCCTCAATTAGGTTCTTATAGCTTGTGGAAGTAAAAGTAGCAGATCAAAAGTAAAAGATCTGCTCATTAAAAAGAAAGTAAAAGTAGCAGATCTGTTAGTGGTAGATCATGCCACCAGTATCACCAACCATTTTTCAAAATTATGCCCAAAGTTAGGCTACTTTTCCGAAACTATGCTTTTGAAAAAAGGAAAAAAAAAAAGAAGTCCAAATCGTTTACTCATTGTTACTGTAGCATCCTATTCTCTTTATCCCGAGTTAAACACACGCTCTGATGAAACACAACTTACAACTGCCATTTTGTTGCCCATGAAAACGAGAACTGGGACTGGTGCAATCTTAACTTCCGGTGGACCCACTTCTCTGAACAACGAACGACGCAGTATTGCGGTAATCGTCTTCCGCAAAGGCAATGCAAAATTGAAAAAAGACTTAACTGTCGATCCAACTTGAAATTAATTTATCTCAGAGACCGAGCAAGTCATGACTCTGGTAATTTCTCCTTCAAAAACTTGAAAAATGCTGATTAAAATAGCAGTGCTACTTCCAGTAAAATTGAAAAAATTATGCGCTTTTTTTTTTCAAAATATTTCAAACATTATGCCAGCACAATCTACGAGGGTCTACTCATTTCTTGCTGAGTTTGTGTCCTCTCACTTCCAAATTCGTTCCTACGTGCCTTATTTCGTTCGTTATGATTAATTTGTATCTTTGATATCTCTCATCGTGAATTCGCTCTAATACAGCCGTTTAGTTTCCATAACGATTAATTTTTTCACAAACTATGTTCCACTTTCTTTGTTAACACCACGAATATGCGTTTGCCTTTGCGCAAGTTGATTTCGCTGCAGGGTCCTTCCAAAATTTGCTCTATCTTTTTCCGTCATTCATGGTTCACTCTCTTTATTCATTTTATGCCTAATCCTCTTTTGGAAAATAGTGCATCTTAGTTTTAATTTAACGCAGTCAAAATCTTCTTTAAAAATTCCTCTTCACACTCTCGCTATAAGTGGTTGCTCTTGTTCACAATTTTTACCTTCATCTCCAGCGCTGAATTTGTAATGAACAGACTTCT